TTCATGAAGGTCTATGTGGTCTGAGGAAGGATTATTTGCTGAGCTGGTATACTTGAAGGAAATAGGATTTATTTAAAGAAAGCATCAACACGAGGGCAAACAATGTAAACAGAACTGGGAATGATTTGAACCATGGCTTGGTGTCTCTCACAAGCCTCTCTCCACTGACAGGGATATTTCATAGGCAACTTTGTAACACTTTTCACTGTACTTTTTCCTAGACTCTCAGCTTGTAATTTTCTCCTATAACACAGACTTAAATGTCACTCTTTTCACACACAGGGCTGAGTCTCCTTCAACTCAGAGACAGAACTTAACTGACTTCTGCTTCTCACAGAAATCTCAGGACCAACTCATATCAACTGCTTTTACACAGCACTCTCTGCTGACTGACTCCTCAACTGTCTGTTTAACTGTCTCACTCTAACAGTCACTCCTGATAGACATTCAAATCATCCACACAGCATCCATTCCAAAACCCCTCCCCCTCTCTGTCACTCACCAATCACACCACTTGCCTGTTTCAACCACACTAGACTTTCACACAGCAATGTAAACCAAACTTTTAAAGACACACACACAAATAAACATGAAATCGTTACACCTGCACATAAAGGAGCCGGTGTTTCCCTTTTAAGTACATGGAGCTGGCGTTTCCCCTTTAAGAGCAAAGAGCCGGCGTCTCCCTTTTAAGTGCACAGAGCTGGCATTTCCCTGCAAGCCTGATCTCAAGCGGAGATAGGGCTTGGGAGGAAATGCAGACTCCATGAACTTAAAGGCAGCCACCCCGCTCGAGAGAGAGAGAAGGAAGAGGGGTGGCTGTGAGTGTTGGGGGCGGCGGGTAGACACCCCCCAAAAAAATGGGGGACCCCTGACAAACCGGGGAGGTTGGCAACCCTAATTCCTGGTTTTTTAACCTCAAAGCTCTTAGGCCTAGGGATGCCAGCCTCCAGGTGGAACCTGAGGATCCCCTGGAATTATAGCTTATCTCCAGACTACAGAGATCAGTTCCCCTGGAGAAAATGGAAGCATTGCAGGGCAGGTTCTATGGCATTGTACCCCACTGAGGTCCTTGTCCTCCACGTGCTCCATCCCCAAGTCGCCAGGAGTTTCCCAACCTGGATCTGGCGACACTACCCTCCCATCCCCTGCCAGTGGCCAAGGGGGACCGGACAACCCTAGGCCCCATCTTCTCATCTGCACCTGTGTCCATCTCATCTCCTTATCTCTCTCTCTATGAACTTATAAGTCAGCCTGACATTTACCTCTCAGAAAGAGACCTTCAGTAACTTTTACTAGGCCTGAAGCCTGAACCAAAGTTTTGAAAAAACAAGGAACTGCTAAGGCAAAGCCACTTTCTTGACAGTTCACACTTAAAGTCAATGAGGTAGTGCAATACTAACAGAGCAATCCTAAGCAGCTCTACTCAGAATCTTACTCAGGTCTATTCAGTGGGGCTTATACCCAGGAAAATGTTCGTAAGATTGCACTGCAAACCCCATTACCTGAAATTTGGAAAGATGTTCTGCTGATTTCAAGTGGAACATCTTAGCAACTGTACTTCCTTATAACCGTCCCTTTATTCACTTTCCATTATATTCAATTGTCTTTTCATTTGAATAGTATTAGGAATTTGCAGGATCACAGTTATCTTGTAATGGAAATGGTGACTGATGGGAAATTATTCTCCACTGCAGTACATTTATGTATCTATATAGTTTGAAATTTTTGATATTGCTGCTTACTTTTGAGGAGACATTTAAAGACACTTTAAATCTATGCAAGTGTAACTTACCAATTGTAATCAGCCTCAACAAAGCCAGAATATACTTGTTGTTAGCCAACCTCCAAAATGGACCAATTGTTAATAATACAGGAGAGAGGTAAACAAGAGCAAAAGCTTCTACTCCAGTGAGTTTTAAGGTTTGTAAAGGGAAATAATAGATCATCGGTGGAAAGGCATGATAAAGAGACCAGGAAACATAACCTGAAATAAAAGGGAACATAAATGTTATACATTCTCCGGAGCATGTCTTGTTTAGGTTTATTAATATTATTAGGGTGCCACATTAGGGTGAAAAAAAAGAGTACATTACAAGCATACTATACCTTTCTGGCCATGCAGTTTTGATTACTCTGGGTGTCTTACTGGGCAATCCTATGATAATAGATCATCGGTGGAAAGGCATGATAAAGAGACCAGGAAACATAACCTGAAATAAAGGGAAACATAAATGTTACACATTCTCCGGAGCATGTCTTGTTTAGTTTTATTAATACTATTAAGGTGCCACATGTGAAAAAAACAGTACATTACAAGCATACTATTCCTTTCTAGCCATGCAGTTTTGATTGCTCTGGGTGTCTTACTGGGCAATCCTATGCAGATTTAAAGGTAAAGGTTCCCTTGCTCGAAAGCCAGTCGAGTCCGACTCTAGGGTTGCAGTGCTCATCTCCATTTCAAAGCCGAAGAGCCAGCGCTGTCTGAAGACTTTTCCGTGGTCATGTGGCCGGCATGACTAAACACCAAGGCACATGGAACGCTGTTACCTTCCCACTGAAGTGGTACCTATTTATCTACTTGCAATTTCTTGCTTTCGAACTGCTAGGTTGGCAGGAGCTGGAACTAGAGACGGGAGCTCACTCCGTCATGCGGCACCTGGGTCTCGAACTGCTGAACTTCTGACCTTCCACAGCCTGCAGTTCAGCGTCTTAACCACTTGAGCTTTACTCCAGCCTAAGCCCATTGATTTAATTGGCTAGACTCATTCTGCATAGGATTGCACTGAGAGTCACTGAACTCTCTATTCTTCTTTGAATGAAGAATGAATGAATAAATGAATGAATGATCTTTTGTTGTATACTCTAATCAAATATGAAAAGGCAGGAGGTAGGCCATCATCTGCCCTGACCTAGGTAGCCCAGGTTAGCCCATGCCTGTTGGATCTTGGAAGCTAAGCAGGGTTAGTATTTGGATGGGAGCCCACCTGCCAACCTAGCAGTTCGAAAGCAAGAAATTGCAAGTAGATAAATAGGTACCACTTCAGTGGGAAGGTAACAGCGTTCCATGTGCCTTGGTGTTTAGTCATGCCGGCCACATGACCACGGAAACGTCTTCAGACAGCGCTGGCTCTTCGGCTTTGAAACGGAGATGAGCACCGCAACCCTAGAGTTGGATTCGACTGGCTTTCGAGCAAGGGAACCTTTACCTTTTACTTTACCACCAAGAAGTCCACGGCTGCCATGCAGAGGCAGGCAATAGCAAACCTCCTCAGAATGTCTCTCGGCTTCAAAACTCTACAGGATTCTCAGCTGTGACTTGACAGCAAAACTTTCCAAAAAGACAATCATCTACTGATGAGCTGCTGGCCAATTAACCCATTGTGGCTTCTTGATGCTGGGAGGCTTTGACACAACGTTGAACAGCAAATTTTATTTCTGAAATCTCCAAATTAAAAAAAAAGACATTTACTGACTTTTTTCGTACAGCTCCATAGAGCTATACACATTTGTAACTTGAGCCACTTCCTTGGAAGAGATTATCTTGACATAGTGCCAAAGCAGGTAGATTTCAGAGAGTGCATTGTTCTTTTGCTTTTGGGAAAGACTGTTGTGCAAGGCATGATGTTTGGAAGCATATGAGTCAAGGGCTAAACTATGCCATAAAAGAGAGGGCATGAAAGAGGAGGAAATCTACCTATCTGCTACAACCACCTGGCCCAATGGGAGTCTAGTATTGTTTTTTTAAGGAGACAAACTTCCTTACACGTGTTAGAACAGACTAAGCAAAAATTAGTCGTCATCCAAAGTAGTCTCTAGTGCAAACCCTAAACCCCAAGAATGAATTGCTCCTAACCCCAGTAGTGTTTCTAAAATACTAGAGTACATGTAACAGCATGGCTTTCATTGATATATTAGTTATAAAATTTTCTAGGAAATGATCCACCCAAAATCAAACCCTGTAAAGTCTTATTAGTTGAGTAAAGAGTTAAGTACCTTGAAACTTGTGGGATTTAAGCACTTTTGTATGCTTTGGTTATCTACACAAACGTAAGGTAACCTCCAAATGCTGGGGGAGTGGGGTTAAAGTAAAGCCTGTTGTAGTCACAGTAAACAATGAATACATTGTTATAATTTATAGTATGTTTTAGTCAGTTTCTCAAGGATGCAAATCTTAGAAAACTGGGTTTTCTTAGAAAGAAAAAAACCCACACACCCTTCAGGTCTCCCAGGCCTATTATGCATGGGTGTTTTGCCTCGCTTTCACCGTGCATGTCCATTGGGTTTTCTTTTTTGTTCTGCATTATTTTTCCTCCCTTCAGGGCTCTGTTTGTTTCCCATTTGCTGTTTCCCTGGATTTCCTGAGAGTGCTTTTGTGCCAGGTTTTCCCTTGTTTCACTTCCAGTTCAAAAGCATACAGATTCCCTTGGATTTTTCTCCCTCAATCTTCCCCTAGCCCCTCATAAACCATGTCCATGCCCACATCCAGATCATTCTGCACACTCTGTACCTTCCAACATTCATTGGTGTGCCCCTCGTTGTTTTACATTTAAATTTTTTGCAAGCGATCTGAGTCTAATGAAATGAGACTAACACTAGTATCAGATCACTGTAAAAAAAAAGAAAAGGAATTACCCCCAGCTGGGCTGCCCTCTCCTGCCATCCAGTTTAAACCGGGTGGTAGGAGGCAATGTAGAGCTGTGACTGCAGGGAGCCACTGGCTCCCTGCACACACAGCAAGCCCAGTTGGGCTGCCCTCTCCTGCCGCTGTGGTTGCACGGAGCACACACCCCTGTGTTGCCAACTATCACAGCTTGCAATGTCAGTGGGTTCTACCATGCATTCCATACACTCATTACATTCCCTCATATTATGAGATTGTGTGACTCTTTCCCATTTTTCATAGTGGCCGATAACATAGCAGCGAGAGTGCTTTGCAATGGGGCTTCGTGGCTGCTTCTCAGTTACAGAAAAAGTCTGGTCAGTTTCAACAATGGGTTTTCCCCCTTTGCCTGACTTCCTTTCTGTTCCCTTTCATTCAATGAACTAACACTAAAATGCATGTGCAAAACCTGAACCATGAGGATTTAGGATTTTTAGGTAGGAAAAATCAAATGCATAATACTTTTGGCAGTAGTATGTGTGAAAAGGATCTAGTGGTCTTAGTGGACCATACACTGAACATGAGTCAGCAGTGGGATGCGGTAGCTAAAAAGGCAAATGCTATTTTGGGCTGTATCAACAGAAGTATAGTGTCCAGATCATGCGAAGTGATGGTATTGCTTTACTCTGCTCTGGTTAGACCACACTTAGGGTATTGTGTTCAGTTTTGGGCACCACAATTTAAGAAGGATATAGACACTGGAACGTTTCCAGAGGAGGGCAACGAAGATCCCTTCCAACTCTATGATTCTATGAAATGAAAGGTTCTTGCTGGACGTGACTGCACAGATGCAATAGGGCAACTGCATTTTTTTTTAACTTTGGATGCCGCCGCCCACACATCACAAGCGACGTTCCTCCCCGATTTAGAAGTGCATTTTTAAAGGTGTAGCTGCAGAATGAATACACTGGAGGAAAAAGAATGGTGCATAAGAAGGGAACAGAACCCGAAGTCAAGCTTAAAATTTACTGCTCAGAAAATCTGCAGTAAGTTGTTCGTGTATAATGGGCCCCAGACATTTGCTTATTGACAATGCTTTCTTTGAACATGTTTCACAATGTTGTTTAACTTTAGTTGTCAGGGTAGCCCCTATACAATCACTCTCTGTTTCCTCCTACAGCTTAGTTTTCAACAATCCATCACTAGGACTCCTTTTATCTCCAGGTGTGGTCTGATACCAGAAGTGAGTCACTTCAGAGAGAGAGAGGGACTCTTTGAATTGGAACTGTTTCCCATTCTATACATGATTGGGGCATATGTAGTCTTAAATGAAGGGGTTTGCAGCCTTTACCCGTGATTTATGCACAACTTTCTCTGTCTCTGAATTCACACACACACACAGAGTAAAGCACTAATTCTAGACCCACTTTGCAGGTTACTCTCTCCTGAAAGAAAACATTCTCAGTCATTTGTTCTAAACTAAAGCGATAACAACTGGTTTCTTCTAACTACTAGCGAGCAATCTGCTAAATTACCATCTCAGCAACTACAACACCATCTTTGATTTCCTGGAATCCACAAATATGTTAATACTAATTAACTGGCAATTTAGCATGAAAGCTTTTATGTGCTTTTTCTGACACTCATAGTGTGGAACGCTTGGTCTCAAAGCAATCATTTATTAAGTATATATTTGTCAACATAGGGACACAAACACCAGTCTCTATCTGGCGTGACGAATCAAATTCACAGACATTAAAATAAAACTGAATTTAAAAAAAAACTATTTGGTATCATTATCTCATGGCAATTAAATATTCAGCATATGTTGGAAATATTACATACCCAGGAGTGTTTCCACCAGGATTTCTTTCCAAAGGAAAACCATTGTTTCACTATAGATTTCCTTTTACTGTCCAGAAGTTATTGCACAAGCCCAGAGGACCCAAGGAAAGGCTTTCTTCTAACATTAATTTATGCTTTTGCGGTAAACCATGCCACGTCTCTCGAGAGCTAGACTTTCGTGCTCAAGGGAACACCTGTCCTACACAGTCCACACCTATTGTAAAATTGTTTTCTTGTGGGCTAGACCAAAAACCACCTGAGCCCAAGAGCAACATCTAGTGTCAAAGGAAGGAGACACAACTTCTGTGAAGGAAGCAAACAGCAGGTATTTGGCACAGGTGAGAATGGAGAACATTAATAGGACTCTTCAGGCCATTCACCTCTTTTACACTGATGCTCAAGACAAGCTGTCAAATTACCTGTTCTATCATCATCCACATCGATTTACAACTTGGACTTTATTTGACTTTAAAACACTGGGGGGGGGGGGATTAGGTAGATTTTTTTTAAAAAAAACCTTTGGATGCCACCCCCCTCATATCACAAGTAACGTTCCACCCTGATTTAGAAAACTGGATTTTTAAAACTGTAGCTGCAGAATAAATACACTGGAGGGGAAAGAATGGCAGGTAAGGCAGGCACAGAATCAGAAGTCAAGATCAAAGGCTTACTGCTCTGAAAATGTGCAGTAAGATACACGTGCATAATGGGCCTATATTATGCCAGCTGTAACAATCTGTATTGGGTGTGTCCTAATCTTGCTACAACAGTTCGCTAATTGATGACTGCCGTCTGATTTAATCTAATTACCAATCAACAATACATTCACCCCACAAGCTGTATAACAAGCATTTTTACTTGCTCAGAAATTGAACTCTTTGATTGCAGGCAATCTTGTTTTAGCAATCTAAAACAAAAGGACCAACAATATTTATTTCAATATGAGCTTACATGAGTCACAGCTCACTTCTTCAGATATGTGAGGAGAAGATGATGCTGGAAATTCTTCTTATGGGAAAGACTAAAGCAGAGGGGAGATGAAGCAGGGAGTGTTAGCGGTCAGACCCATCCTTCCTCAGAAGGAGTAGTCTGGCATTTAGAGAGAGAGAAGACCAGGCACCCTTCATACATATACATCACCTCCAAATAAAAATCATTGACTGCTTGGCCTGAAATATCAGACCAAACATGGCTGTCAGCAGAAAAGGTCAAACAAGAGGCAAGAGCCTTGAAAGAACATTTGGCAGGTGATGCCAGAGAGACTGGCATACAAACAGTTCTTCCCCATCCTAAACGTAATACATATCTTACAAGTAGGGCTGCCAAATCCCCCTGGGGGGCGGGAAAAACCCTGCCCCAGAGGCCCATTCCCCGACGCCGGGGAATCGAGCCCCGGGGGGAACCCCGCCCCAGCGTGCACGTCACAGGGAAGTGACATTATCACGCCAGGCATGCTGGGGGCGGGGCCACGGCCATACAAGGGAAAACTCTATGGTTTTCCCTTGTACG